TATTTCCATCAATTGAGTCTACCTATCATCCTGATTTTCCTGGGTATTTAAGTGTTGAATATCTTCTAAAAACCAGAATCAAGGAATAAAGTCACCTTTCTTCCCAGTTTGGGGGGCTAATTCTGTAAACAGATGTATACTCATTTCCAAGTACAGTACTGACACAAGTATGGAAGAGTTTAGATGCTATTAGTGTCAATCTTGAGAAGCATAGGAACCAACATTTGCTGACCATAGATGCTTGGAGCTGTGCTTCTAAAATGGAACATGGGATGAGACATGATATAAAATATTCCCTATTTTAATATACTCACTTTATACAGTGAAATCTTGCAAGCTACAGAACATACAGCACCACAATTTTATTAGGTGAGTTAAAGACTGAGAAACATTGGCTGAGAAACAGTCTCTGGCATAATTCAACTTATAAGGCAATAAGGACAGTTTTCAGATGTTTTTTTCTCCTGACCTAATACAGTACAAGAAAAATCATCCATATTCTTTGTGTGATTTGCAAGTCTTCTACCCATGTATCAGCATGCCTTTTACTGTTTTCACAATATTAAGATCGTACTGTCACATCTTTTTTGTACTTACTGTATCAGGAGCATTTTCCTGTATCATTACTACTCTACATTTTGAATGGGCACATAGATCTAAATTTATCTAATTCGTACCTATTACTGAACATTTGTTTTTGTGGCTATGTTATTATAAAACTCCAAATGGACTATCACCCTATCACTGAATAACTAATGTTTTAAAAAAATACTTAAAAGAGAATTTGCTTAGTAACGTCTAAGGAATTTGGAAGATATTTTCAGATAATTTTATTTTGAAATAATGAAAGTCTGCTAAGTAGAAAATCTTAGTGGAAGATAATAGGTAACAAATTCATACATCATGAACATGGGTACACAGAGGGCTGTCAAACAACAGGTAAGGTCATAGAATAAGCATAACATCTTCATTAAGTACAAACTTTATTCAAGACACGAATAGGAACACTACACACTTGAAGAAGAATGTTTTGGACTATGGTGCCAGGCCCCATGGGATTTGTTCCTCTATACACTTTGTGGAAAACTTTGAGCAGCAGAGCCATAAATGAACATAAGGCATATTCAATTAAGGTACCTAATTAACTTTTACTATGGCTTGGTTTTAAGATGGTAAAATATGACTATATTTCATAAAAATGTCAATACAGCTGTTAGTGGAGTCTATTCTAGCAGGCTTTAATGGCTTAAAATGTTTATTTCAATTATCAACCATTGAAAACAATGTCATTATTACTTGCGTAAGGAGGATTACTTGATAGCATGGATCATTTTAAGGTGCAGCATTTCATAACTGGTTTGACAATAAAACTATATTGCTTATTCAAAAAGCAAAAATGTTATTTTTCACTTCATGTATGGTTCAGGAGCTTATAATGTGTTATTTGGTACACTTGAAAGATTTCATCTATTCAAAACTGAGTACTTTTATACAAGGCACCATCAGAAGCTCTTTAAATGGAAATATACAGTATCACCAGACACCTGTGATTTACAGTGAATTTTTTTTTTCAAGTTAATTTTTAAAGCACATTTACTCATTAGATACTAAAATATACACAGGCAGTAAAATAAACCTAATGAGCATTTCTGATACATAACACCTGACGGGAAGTGAATGAATCAGCTTTGACCACTGGTGATTGGAAAAATGACCTAACAGTGTACATAATCAAAATGACATTTAAATAAATGAAACGGTAGAAAATTAAATTGTTCATAATGAGTTCCCCAGTGTGCTTTTCCCTGACAACTTATTTCTAGTATTCAGTCATGGAATGGATTATCTTTCTACAAACTTGGGGCGGGGGAAGACATGATAACCACGTTCCTCCTTTTATCTAAACTTATCTACCTTTATAGAATCGGAGCAAACACAAAATCTATTTGTGATTTCTATTACAGGAATTTTCTTCACAAAATGAAAGCACCATCAAGATAAAGGGAGAAATGACACGAAAGCAAACAAATGCCACATACATTTGGTAACTATCTGTATTTTATCTTTACTATTTTGAAATTAATAAAAATCATTTAGTTTACCACTTTCTCGGGTCATCTTATCATTTGGAGACATAAAGGACCTGAAATTGCAAAGCATTTAAAAGTATATCAATTCCCAGGAAATCCTTTCATATATGAAAAATAAGGTGGTAAGAAAAAAAATGGACTATTAAAATGAAAACTCCATTTTGGAAAGGCAAAATAACACCTCAGTGTTAAATATGCAGTCTCTACATATGATATTAAAAAAAGTAGAATGAACCCTCCCTAAACTTAGTTCCTTTCTAAGCTTTTGATGTCTTTGCAACAGACAGATGTGTGTTTAATACAAGTGATGCAAGACGTCAATACTTTCAAAAACACTTCTAAGCTCCCTCAATATTTTAACATCTATGTGCCAGGCAGTAAATCCTTAGGGAACACTTGTTTCACATTATCGCATTCATCCTCACAGGTGTTAATTTAAGCCAATGCACTTAATGAAGCATGGCAAAAGCAACTGTTTAAAATAATGAGATGTTGTTTTCAGGACATGTAAGTTTATTACACCATTAATAAAAACTAGAGTCTGTAGATGTTGGAGACATAAATGAGGCTAATAGAAAAGTAAGATTTTTGCGGAGAAAGTAAAGGCAAGATTTTGTGATTTAAATACTAACCAATGATATCAAACTAACCTTATAAAATACATACACTATCTCCCCACCTTTAAAGCACTCCTGGGGTGTAATGAGATAACTAAAGCACTGAAAAAAGAGATCTCTAAAAAAAGGACTAGAGGACAGCTACCTACTTTTGATATGATTCTCTACCAGTAAACATTTCCCAGCCATGCTGTTTTCAAAGCTCAAGTCATAACCCCCAAACCTTGATTTCTTCCCCTCAAAATACTTCTAAAACCTGAACACTCAAGAGAAAAATGTTTACATAAAATAATGTATTCATATAACTGCAAAGTATGAACTTAAAGTTCTAAGAAAGATGCAATGCCCAGTACTTACTGATTAAATGTTGATGAAGACAGGGCAATAGCATTTTGGCTCCACCATTAGCTCAACTGCAACCAATTAAAGAGATTCACGCAGAATATGCAGGTGCTAAATCAGTCCCAAAAAGCATATTTTGGGGTGAGCCTATCAACTAAAATAGTAAGAAAAAAAATTAGCTTGTTTGGTGGCATACAGAAGTATTGGGAGTTAAAATGAGATAAAAATCACCATAAATCATTAAATGTATTTTTCACACCTATAACATAATGGTTTTTTTCCAGAAACAATCAGGCTGGTTTTCGTGCTTTGTGTACGGAAGAAAAAAACTATTCTCACACCAAACTGGATTGTCTCAGCATGACAATTTTTGTAACGTTAAGGAATGTAGTTTTAACCTTTTTTCTCTAAATCTTAACAGAATTTCTAAATCCTAACCAAATAAATCTTGTCTCTAGTACACCATAAGAGCAAAAAGATAAGATTTTGGTGTATCGCCATAGTCATTCTCTAAATGTTAAAGTGATGGTAAATTATTCAAATTATTAAAAGACAGTAATCCTCAGAAAGCTATTTGAAATATAAATTCAAAACTAGCTTAAAGAAATTTGAAGTAATGAAAAAATATGAAACCCTTAACCGAAAAACACAGATTTTGTAATACTTTCAACATAGTAGAATAATATTTTCGTATTTGGACTGGAGCTTAAAAGCTACAAATAGTTTTCTCCCACGAATTAAAAATACAGGTATAACTTAAAATTTTCCAAATGGCATCACTTTAAGACACGTCATATTAAAAAATAATTCTACAGAATATGCATTTTTGTAGGACGTCCCAACAAACAGCCTCGCCTGTCAGAAAGGAGGCACACGTACAAAAATCAAATCCATGTACATTAAAAAGAGGTACACAAAGATGAATCGAGTTGCGAAAAAGGCAACTACACAAATTCAATGAGAAAGGGAGGAGTCCTGACTCATAGACCGAATATTTTATATAAAGACATATGCTCTATCATTCAACTGCACAGAATGGCACTTGGCCACTTCTCTCAAATCTGCTCTGGAGATTGTGGTAAAACATTCTATATACCTCCCTGAAGAAATTCTCAAAGCGAAGTCCATTTTAGAGAACAAAGTGGACTTAATTTTAGGAACTTTCTCGGAACTCGGCACAACAGAGTAATTACTACTTTACAGACGAATTTTCCGTGCTCCACCAGGGCTCTGTCCCCGCGCCCCAGCCCACATCCCTTATTTAAAGAGACTCAAACTGACTGAGACGGTTCGGCCAGCTATCCCGATTCTCTAAGTCTGGGCCGTGAATCGCCGAGCAAGGCTGAACCCCCGCAAAATTACAGAAGAATCTAAAGCGCAAACGAGGTAAAAGAACAACAAAAAAAGCAAAAGGGGGGAAGTTGGGTCGAGACCCGCCCCCACTCTCTCAACCCCACCCAAGCCTACCTCTCCTACGCTGAACCATAAAACAAAACCGAAAACGTAACAAAAATACAAATTAAAAAAAGAACATCACGAGAAAACAAATAGGGCTTCTTTACTGTCTCCACTCCCTCTGGCCCAGTTCTCTACCCAACCTCCCGGCCCACCCCACCCCCCAGGGGTCCCGGCGCCATTTAGCTCCTCCGAAGCCGCCGCCATTTTCCGCCCCCGCCGGATCGCTGCTGTGCCTCGGCGGCCGCTCGCTTCCCTACTCTGCAGCCTGAGCCACGGGCGCCGCCCGGCCCTAAGAGGGAGGCCCTGGCCGGAACGTGCGGGGACGGCAGCTGCAACGTCAGGAAGGCCAGGCTCCGACCCCGCCCGCAGTGCCCCGGCGCCGACAGCTTGCGCCAGCCGGCGGGTGCTAGCGGGCAGCAAGGGGGCCGGACAGGCTCCACTGGGCGGAGCGGCCCTGACGGCGGTTGGGACCTGAAGGTTCCATCGCACTTACTTCCTGTTTTGGGTCCGGGCACTTTGGAAGAACCAGGATGGAGGCTCCAAAAAATACCAGGATGGAGGAAGCAGCCACGGGCAAGAGTGGCTGCAGCTGGAGTGAGCGAGCGCGACAAGCCACCGGAAACGGAGCTGCAGCCGCGCCCCGCCCCCAGCTCCCCGCACGCTGCCCCTCCCGCTCGTCTGTCCCGCGGGCGGCCCCGCGCGCTGGCTGCACGCGTCACTTCCGGCTGTGTCGGCGCGCGAAAAAAGTTCTTGGGTTGGAACGTTGGTACTAGTCTGTGGCGGTGTTTGTCGACTGTCCTTCTCTGCTACGAAATCTCGGCACTGACTGTCCCATTGCTGATGCTATAAAAGAGGTCCTTCTGCTATGACGCAACTGTGGTTCCTCTGGTTCTGGGGAGTTATGCCCCGCGTGCCGATTTTCATAGTTCCATGTGGCTCCGAGCCGAGGGAGCCGCGGTGTGGAAAGGAGGGAACCGATGATCTCAGTGCTGAAGAAAACGGAGTGTGTGTCTTCATGCTTGATTTCCCTTGCCGCAGGGGCTTAAAATGAGATGTCTGGGCGTGAGAAGTCGTTCTTGATGAAATGTGTCCTCTGTGAGTGTGGTCTCGCTGTTAGACTAGGAAGATGCTATTTTGCTGTGCCCAGTTCCTCTTGAAAGTACAGATGCTCCTTGGGTTGCGATTTCGTTTTAATACCCTTATAAACGAAAAGGATAAGCCTTTGGGTTCTGTAATGTGAGCCAGCATTCTTTGAGTACTTACATGTCAGGTAAATGTTTTACGTGTATTAAACTCATTTAATGTTCATAAGTGCTAAGTGCATCGCTGCATTATTACAAATGAATCCCATTTTACACAGGAACCAAAGAGAAGTGAAGGAATGTGTCCAAGGGCTCCCAAGTTGGCGGTGGAATTAGAATTGAAGCCTCAGCTCCAGAGCCTGTGTTCTGAACGACCTGGTTGCAGCTCACAAAATACACTTTGGCAGTACTTTCATAACGAAAACAAATGATTACAACTAGTTTACAAATGCTTTACTTTACTGGAAGATCGACATGTTTGACTGATTTTCAAAAATAAATGTCAGAAGCAGCATTTTCTTGTGTTGATAACTTTATTACTAATTTGTGGCACTCAGCATTCTGTTGGAGTTAACCTGTATATCATTCCATTTTTTAATAAGTACATAATAATGTTTATGTAAGCAAAACTATGAGGCAGAATAGTATTGTCGTTTGGACTCGGCAGTCAGACCTGAGTGTGACTCTTGGCTCAATTTCTTAGTAGTGGATATGGCACTTCACCTCTTTTAGCTTCGTTTACTTTAGAAAAATGGGAGTAATAAGACCTACCCTCCAGACAACATATTTTGCATAGAACCTGACATGTATTAAGCATTAAAAATGGAAACTAATAGACCTTAAAGCCAGAAAAGCAATACAACTACTCAAAGAGCAGTTCTAATAAAGTAATAATTACATATGCAAAATTGTTGACATTAACACTGATTAGAAGGTGATTCCTAATGAGCCACATTTTTCATAAGACATAACCATATAGGATTCTTTTTGCTAAGGCATAAAATAGTGATATATAAATTACAGTCGAGCTGTCCATTCTCTTCTACTAAATTTTAGGTCAGCCTGCACCCTGCTAATTCCCCCCAAAAAGTCAAGTTCATCCTCATAACTAAATTCTCCCTTTCTGGTTGAGTTTGTTTTATAACAACCTTTTCCCAAGTCAGTTGGTATTTATTTAGGGATGATGAGTGTATTTTAATATTAATACATAATTTTTTAAAAAAGTAACATCTCTATCCCTTTAACTTGAATAATCAATGTAAAGACTATCCATAACACAACTTGATTCCTAGAGCAATTTTCTGCAGTTCTACTTCTATGTTATCCGTACCTCATTACCTAGTCAATGTGTACCTAGGGAATGGATGAGGTTTTAAATATTATCCAAGGATTTACCTATTTAGGAATTAAATGTTTTGTAGAAAAATCATTAGAAATATTTCTATCCTAAATAATTATGAAAGTATTTATAGCATAGCTATGGTATTTACTGCATTTGCTAGTTAAAATTGACTTTGTTGAACTCCAGATGTTTATAACACTTTCATGAACCTCATCAGTGATTGAATGATGATGAAATTGCCTTTTATGACAGGTTGATATATTAATATAAAGTATTTCAAATACTGAGAAGCAGGTTCTGTTGTTTCATGATCATCTCATGCTAATTCAGAAAAAAGATGTTTATAAGCTTTTGTTCAAAGTAAAAGAAAACTACAATTACTGAGTAATTTTCTTTCTACACAGTCTCTGAGTCCTGTTAATACAGCTGATGGGGATTGCTGTGCTAATGGAGGAATGAATAAACTGTCCCAGTTAAGCCCACGCAACAGGCTTTACCAGGTGGTCTCCTGTCTCAGATTCTTCTTGTAGGCTTCCCTCTGGACCTTAGGACACTCCATCTTACAATCCTTTTCCCGCCTTGCATTTTGCTTGTGTGTCTCATCTCTACGATTCTTTTAATACCTCAGCTAGGTGACCACCTCTCTATGTCCACTTCACTTTTTTCTTCTTTTGTGGTAAATCTTTGTTGAGAACTATTGATAGAATATTAGCCAAAAAAGTGTTTCCTTATCAAGGGAATGGAGAGCTAAGGCTTCCAATACTCCTAGCCAATAAGGACAAAAATTTTTGTTCTTTGTAATTTTGATGTGCAAAACAAAATAAACAGTTCAGATACTTCATTAAAACAGGATAATATCCAGACCCAGACTCAAAGACCTGTTCCTTTATAATCTAGCATGGAAGAGAGAGGGACAGTATATTAGTTAACTAAGCAATAATTGCCATGTTTTGTAAGTTCTGAGAAAGATACAACTTGGGTGCTCTGAAGTGAAATTTTATAGAGTTCAGAGCAGGCCTTTCTGAGAAGATACTTAAGCAGAAAGGTAAGAATAAACAAGCATAGTAGGGGGTGCAAGGTGGGAAAGCATTTGTCCAGCTAGTGTATGAAAGCATATTTGCAGAAAGCAACTGGCTTGTAAAATGTTTATAAAATGGTGAAAGCACAGTACTGCCAGGTGATAGGCTGTCCCTTGCAAATGTTAGCTGAATTTCTCAAAAAACTTTATTGTGGTAAGAAGACAACATGACATCTGCCCGCTTAATAAAATTTTAAGTGTACAAAACATTATTGACTATGGGTACAGTGTTGTACAGCAGATCTCTAGAGCTTATTCATCTTACTTGAAACTTTACGCCCACTGATTACTAACTCCCCATCCCCTCTCCCCAGCCCCTGGTAAACCACCATTCCACTCTGATTCGACTATTTTAGATACTTAACGTAAGTGAAATTATTTAATATTTGTATTTCGTGACTGTTTTATTTCACTTAGCATAATGTCCTCAAGGTTCATCCATGTTGTTGCATATTGCAGAATTTTCTTTTTTAAAAATTTTTAAAATTTATGTTCTAGGGTACCTGTGCATGAGTTAATGGGTGCAGCACACCAACATTTTCTTCTTTTTTAAGACAATAGTATTCCTATTCCTCTAAGATTAGAGCTCAGTGCATGTCCAGACATAGCAGAAATAGGCCATCTTCCCCCTTTGCCATGAGCTTTTATTTGCTAATATATGCCACAGTACCTTAACTTAGCAGACATTTAAATGTTTGTTGATATTAAAGATAATTGTCTTAAGCCAGAAGACCTGGAAGCTAGCCACTTCTATTCTTTGGCAAGAACAGCTGACTACCGGAGATCACACAGTATTTTTCCAGATAGTGTTGCTACTTGGACAATTCTCGACAAAAGCAAACACGTTAGCTATTTTTCAAGTGGAAAAAAGTTATTTTAACACATCACATATTTGGTGTTACTCTAAACCTTATTGCTCAAGTCTTGTGCATCTAGGTGCAGTATTTTAAGAACAGAAGCATGTCACTTTAGCCAGCAGATGTCCCTATTGTTCAGCAGTTTTTTGTTTTTGTTTTTTGTTTTCTTTCCCAAGTAGTAACTTGAACAGTAAATAGAAATTTTGGGGCCTTCATTGTTAATGATATGCTGTGGTAGACCAAGGACAAGCCTCAACAGTAATAAAACTAAAAGGATAAGGATTATGCTTTGAAATCAAACTATGAGAAAGCTCTCTAGAATTAAAAGACTTGTAGATTAATCCCCTTCCCTTCTATTCACTGTACATTTAATTCCTTTGCACAGAATATGCAGTGAAAGAGGAAGAAACAAGGAACCTCCGTAATGTTTATAACTTTCAGGAGTTTGCACATTTGTGATACACTCGCTCATTTCCTTCAGCAGCTCTTCCTGAGCACCTGCTTTGGGCTGAGCACTATTTTAGGCACAGGAAATATGATGGAGAACAAGAGAGACAAGATCTCTGCTCTCAAGGAACATATATTCTAATGGAGGAGCTTACATTATAGTAGTATAGTGCATCTTTGTGCCAAACTTGTTTGGGTAAAGTACTCACTAAATTACTGGCAACTGCCTATAAAACTTGCTTATAATTAACAACTTAATGAAGGATGAAAACAAAATATGAATCAAATTGATAGCAGCAGAAGGCAGACAAATTCCTCCACGGATGGGACAGGTCCCAGTGAAACCTGACCTTCAAGCCAAAGACAGCCTGAAGCCTGAAAACCTGGCAGCCAGTTCCAAGTGGAATCCAGTACCCAGAGTGAGAACTTTCTCAATGCCTTACAATGAATCAAATAGTGCTTTTTCCAGGCCCACCCATGGTCCAATCAGCACACACTTCCTCCCACCCATGGGCCAGTTAACACACACTTCCTCCATTCTGAGCCCATAAAAACCCTGGACGCATCCACGAGTCAACACTACCTGCCTGCAGATAGGAGCTACCCGCTTAGGTCTCTTCTCCGGTGAGAGCTGTCTGTTACTCAATGAAACTCTTCTCTGGCTTGCTCACCCTCCGATTATCCATGTAACCTCATTCTTCCTGGATATGGGACAAGAACTCATGACCTGCAGAAAAGAGGACATGAAAAGGGCTATAACACTTTCCTGGCTGGCTCACTGAGCAGTGGGCGATGACACGCTCCCATTTGCTGGACTAGGGGAGTGAAGAGCAGCAACTCTTTTGGAGGCCCAGACCTTGGGATTCCCTGAGCCACAGCTGTAACACTATAGCCCTCCTGCCTTCTGCCAGTGTTGGGCAGCTGCCCCACGTGACAGGAAGTAGTGGTGGGGCTGAGCCATCCCAGGAGTGGTGGGCTGGAGTGAGGCAGCTGGACTGAATGAGCTGAAACATGTCCCCACCTTGGTTCGCTGAGCTGCAGGCACTGGGAAAGAGAGCTGTAGCATGACCCCCACCACCCGCCCTTGGGGACTCTGCAGTTGCTGGTGACTCCCAAGTTTTCAGATGCCACCTTGTTCCCTTCGTCCAGACGCTGGTGCCCACAGTGGAAGCCGCTTAGAGTATGCCTGGTCCAGCTGCAGCCACGAATGGAGCAGGTGCCTGTGCTGGTGCCTGGAGCTGCCTGCCCCACTGCAGCATCCAATGTGCCTATCTGTGTACAGTGGCCAGACGCTGCGCTCCCTCACTCACACACCCCTCACTGCTTCACGCCTGGCCCGCCATCCTCAGGCATTGGAATCAAGGCTGGTAGTGCGAGCCGAGGACAGTCTGCCAGGCCAAGTGGGCAGAATGAGCCAGCGGGTGCGAGCGAAACTTAAGCAAGCAGAGATGCTGCCGACCACAGAGGTTTCCGACTGGCGACTTGACTCCCAAAGGATCCTGTGACAAAATCACTTGGTATCATCAGATTAAGCTAAATTACTAGTATTAGAAAGGATGGGTCAATGTGTTTCTTCTTCGAAATTTCTGTTTTCATGTTTCTAGGCAAAGTATTTTATGCACAAGAGAAACACATATGTCCTCTTGAATCCCCTTTGGCTGGTGTTCTCTGAATCCCTTTAATAGACATACAACGTATGTATATAAACACGGGCAATGTAGAGGTCTTTCTGAACCTGAAATTATTAAGAGTTAAGATCTGAACCAACAGAAAACACTCCCAAACATGCT